CTAGACGTCTAGGCTATATTTAGACGTATTTTAAACGCAAAATTGCTTGCTGGGTGCAGGCAGCGGCGCAGCGCAAATCTGTAAATGAATATTCCGAAGTGAAGTAAACTTCAACGGATTTCCCCTGCTCAGGGAGTAGGGAGCAATGGACACTGTGTAGGGACCATGTCAATCGGAACACATTTCATGCACGGAGCTCACTTCTAAGCATGATCTAGTACATCCCCAAAACAAAATCAAGACTTTGTAAAAGAGCATAATAGGACCCCTTTAATACTATAGACGCAGCCGGTTTTACTCGCTGAGAGATTTATTCGTCATAAAATAATCGCTTCATAATTGTATTAGTCTTACACACATGCTATACAGATAATGTAGAGTCGTGCATTAATTTGAGTGGTGACAGATATTATGGGAGTGGCATGAGCGCAGGAGATGCAGATAACATGATCTTGACCCTTAAGAAACTTTAATTAACGCTGTCACGTAACAAATCTGTTCAAATATAAAATTAAATTAATTGCTAAATTGCTACATTGAAATAAAAATGTAAAGCCTGTACAAAAATTAGAAATCGTGAATATAAATAATTGGGAATCATGTAAAAAAATTAAAATAAAATAAACACATTTCATTTATCTATTATAACATTTATGTAGTTTTGTTCGCTTGGCTGTTTCCTTATAAAAGTCCAGAAATTTGTCAAGTTTTTCGTCAGGTGTCTTTTTTAATGAAATTATGTCATTACGTTGCTGTCTTGCCGCCAGCCAATCGCTGCATTGCTGATCGTGGTTTCGAGTATCGATACATAGCCCTTTTAAACCAACCCATGAACGCGCAATTATCTCAGATAACTCAATTCAACCAGACTAATCATCAACAACAGGTGTGTTTGAAGAACGAATTAGCCAGATCCTGATTAGCGCGATGATATCATCTTGGATGTGACATTTAATCTCGGATGTAATAAGCAATGTACGAAGAACGGGCCCAAGCTTTATGCAGTTTCATTTGAGAAAAAATACGTCAAATAGCCTACACGCTGAAACTAAAAAGACAAACCGTCAAAATAAAAGTCCGGTTTAACTTGAAATTATATGACTGAATGTATTACTACTGTATACTACAATGCAATTCTCAAAGTAATAATAATATTATTATTTTTAAGGAATATCATACAAACAAGTTATTTTTTATTATTATTAATTTATACAGTTGTGCTGTGCAGCATCATGTCTAACAAAATAAAATAAAAAAAAATAAAAATGCAATGTTTTGTTGTAAATTGATTTTCATTTGATTACATTTTAAAAGATTGATTAAATTGTTAAAGTTGTATTAATTCATTTCACTAGACACCATTTTTTATGATAAATTTGTACTGAATCATAAAGCACAGAATCCATAAGAAATCAAATGGAAAACAGAATTTAGGGAAAAATAAAATGCATTTTTGCATAAAATGGCAGCAGTCAAAAAATCACTGGCAGCAGCGGCTGCCAAACAAAAACTGTAAAATTAAAGTAAAATATCTTAATTCAAACAAGGAAAATTCTGTAAAAAAAAAAACATTTTTTTTCTGTTGAACCTTTAATGAAAATATCTGTAAAATTATTGTTTTTGTACTTTATTTGAATTAAGATTTTTTTACTTTAATTTTACGTTTTTTGTTTGGCAGCCGTGATTTGACTGTTTTTTTACAAGATTTATTTTTACAGTGATGATCCATGGATCATAATCTATTTATTTGGAATAAAGGAACAATTTTAATCCCATAGTGATAATCTCACACACTGCTTTGGTCACGCTGAATAAAGTTTGCGTTTCTTTCACCTGATATGGTTGATGCACTGACTCTGCTGGTCAGAAAGAGACGTAAATGTGAATCACACAGACTAAAACAAAAACAGACATTCCTGGCTGTAAAGCATTGTTTTTTAGGAGAAACAAGTATGTGAATTTAGCATGTTTCCTAAATATCTGCAAACATGGTATTTTTTTTGCTTTAGTACAGTCAAACAAAAAACATACAGAACCTTTAATAAAAATCATCTCTGAATTGTAATGTGCCATGCATTCACCCTTATTTGACCCGATTTGGTTTCGAGTTGTTGGAAATATCAGTTAACTTATGTTTTGTTTTTGGTTTTTCTTGAAATTTTGTGACTTTTTCTCATTTAGGGTCATGAGCATACATGCAAAGTTTCAACATGCAGATGTGTTTTGACATGTCCACAAAAACTTTTGTTACGTACGTACTGTCCCTGGGTCAATTTGACCCGCCTATTTTAATGTTCTAAGGTAACTCTACAGACCCAAAATAATAACATTTCTTGGTTATATTTTGTTATTTTAGATTTTTACTCTCCTATGAAGATAAAAAAAATAGCTTTTCCCCACTTATTTTAATACAGAAAAATATTTTGTCAGACAAAGATGGTAAAAATGAGCTATCATTTCTTTTTTCAATCTATCTGAAATACTATTTAACCCATATAGTTTTTTTCTGACTTTTTCTCACTTAGGGTCATGAACATTCATACACAGTTTCAACATGCTGATGTGTTGTGAAAAGTACATACAGAAATTTTTATACGTTTGTGATGTTCGCAGGTCAATTTGACACAAGAACAGACACAAAATAACGACAAATTCCTTTTTTGTATGTTAGAGCTCCTCAACTCTAGTCCTGAGGTGCCTCCTAGTGCCAGTGTCTTGATGAGTTTAACAACTTTTTCATTTCAAAGATTGTGAAAACAAAACTGTTTAACCTTTTAACTGTAAGTCCCACTTTTTGAGCATAGACATGAAAATGACTTTTCCAGCTAAAATTTTTATAAATCTTGAATACTTCGGAGCACAAACTTAAGTTTGGTACCTTTTTAAAGGTGAAACATCACAGGTTATTGTAGAAGTAAAAAAAACGTTAAAAAAGTACATTTTATAAAAAGTTTTATGTTTAAATTTATGAAAATGTAAAATATTAAAATATATATTTTTATATTTTATGTAAAATATATATTTTACAAAACATGTTTACCTCCAAATCTTCAAGAAAATCAAAGGCAAACATCTGAACAAGTTCTGTGCCAAATTTTAGGTTGATATCTCAAAAAATTTACTTTTAAGTAAGATTTTGTGAGCGCAGTACCACACTTTTCCACTAGTTGATATCCAGGGACTCTTGATTTCCATTTATTGTTTGAGTGATCTGAACCATATGTTTCCATAATTTTCTAAATATTTCTGAAGTAGACATCCTATTCAGAAATAGTTTGAGAGTAACTTTAATATTTGATTTGAATTCAATCTCTAAAACACATAAAAACATATTTCTGTTAGGACCACTATCGTCAAAGATGATTGACAATTAGCATACAGTTTGGATTGGCGGTATGGTTCCGTTCTGGGCAAGAACTCCCTGCACATCCATGCAGCCTAGCATGGATGAGAGCAGGGAGAGCAGCGATAACCCCCCAGGGTAAACAGAACAGAACCAACATAAATGTATTGCAGATATTGTTAAAGTTCAATAATTTTATGTACACATTTTAGAATTAGTCTGATTTAAAGGATAATCAGAAGACTGAATCCTGACTGACAAAGGAGGAGTTGGGGATGGAGGAGGGTAATTAGCTATTGAGCAATGCGAAAACTGCTGATAATACTGAGGGACCTTATATATGAATGCTTAGATAGGTGTCGTATTCCCATAGGTAGATGGGGATCAGCTGAGAGTCAGCTGATGCAAGCTTTACTAACGTGACCTGCCAGAACTAACGCTTACGCCTGTTTCACACATACTCCGTCTGCAGTGCATATGCGGTCCGTGTGCGTTACGTATGCGGTGCAGAAGCAGCACGGACTCATTGTGCTTTCACACAGGACGCGTTTGCAGTTCGCTCCTGATCCGCGGCTGTATACCACAAACACAACATTTATCCATTATTTTGATTTCAAATCCAAACGTAGTTAGCCTATACTGAAAGTGTTTTTTCAGCATTGTGATCCTCTTTTATCACAGTACAGTTAACACAATCTTTCAGACATATTCACGTTTAAACTCAATTAATATAAACAGCGTATTAAATGCATTTGTCTTTTAGATGTGTGTATTAAGTTGCTCAAGCAAGTGGAAACACATTTGAATACAGCATATAGCTTTCTTGTGTTAGGTTATCACAAATATTTTAAATTAAAACTTACCACTGACAGAAACAGTCGGCTCTCGTGCCTTTTACATTTAAATCTTTATTACAAACAGTCCAGCGGGTCTTAAAGAACTTTGTTTTTCTACCTCCACAAGACACAAGTGCATATGTTGCCTTTTATATCTAAAAGTGCACTTTTATTTGTTTTAAACCTAGCCAAAAAGCCCGTGAAACACAGTAGACTTTAATTATATCTATTTATTGTGAAATTACTACATTTCAGTCTCAATCCATGTTCATTTTTACCGCGAACAAAGCGCTGTCACTTTAATTCAGCGCGTGCAGCACAGCAAAAATACTCGGTGCGTAAACGATCGCTGCACTGCTGCAGACGCGCCGCTCCTGGAATGCACTGACGGACCGCGACCGCGTGCAGTGTGAAAGCTCTAATCCGTTAACATAGGTGCGTAAAAAAACCGCAACGCACATGCACTGCAGACGGAGTATGTGTGAAACAGGCTTAAAAAAAACGCAACGCACACGCACTGCAGACGGAGTATGTGTGAAACAGGCTTAAAAAAAACGCAACGCACACGCACTGCAGACGGAGTATGTGTGAAACAGGCGTTACGCTTGATGTATAGAACAAGAGTGTGTTTGGCACCACATCAGAAATGGAGAATCTATCATTTATCTATTGCTCTGTCATTTCTTTGAAAAACAGTCACCAAATATGAAAACTAGAGTCTGAAACCTTTCAAATGATGTATAGTTTGTCAAGATTACTTTAGGTTTAGACCAAAATATTATTGTTAAAAAATGTGTAATTGCAAACATCCCACAGGATCGTATTGCATCGCTGCAAACCTCCAGGCACTGAGACCTGATGAACTGCAGATTTTAGTTGAAGTTATAGCGCATACGATCCGTACTAAAGAGCAGAATGACTGTAAGACAATAAGCGTGGGCTCTACCTTAGAAAGCAGATGTTTTGAGATTGACGAGATAGACGAAGAGCAGAACTTAGACTTGTTTTCATGTCGCCTTTGCAAGTGCTTATTGACGGAACCGACGTCTTTGGTGTGTGGACACACTTTCTGTAAGTGCTGTCTGGAAGATGACCTGGCAAAAGAGTGCAGAAGCTGCCGTTTAAAAACCAACAAATCACCCAGGCAATTTACTGTGGACGGACTCAGAGTAAATGTTATTATCAGTGGCTTGATTGGAAAATGGTTCAATTCGGAAAGCAAAGCAAGACGATACTGGTCGGAAGGGGAAGGTCTTTGGAAAAAACTGGACTTATCCAACGCAATACTGAAGTTCAACACGGCGATTGAACTAGGTAAGAGACGGTTACATTTACGGCCTTTTATAAAGAACTGACCTACTTTCCGAGACTGATGGAACAGCCGCAGGGGCGACGTTGTGCTTCTCATTCTCAGTGATGACACCGTTTTGTAACGTGACCAATATAATTTACATAAACCAGTTAAATTTGGTTTGAATTGGGGTTCATTGGGCTGTCAGGTTGTTTGAGAATATGTACATCAATGTTTAGTCACAGCAGTTAGCAAACAACATCCATTGTCTTTGGATTTGTTGCATGTTATTAACCCAACCCAAAGCCTTCTGAACATGCAGTGCTCTGTCTACACAGTTAGGCACAATAATGATTAATACTGAATTAATGCAGAACTTTTGTATGAACTTTGTTAATAAAGTTTGTATAATTTTGTTTAGGTGGCTGTTAGACTCTTGTTTTAGGTCTTATCTGGGCTTATCAAAAGTAGGTCAGTGCATTGGACCTGCTTATTATCTGAAGTGTGAAAAATATATGCTGTCTCTAATTTCATAGGCTATTACATTTCAAAGAATAATAGTCAAATTTTATAATGGTTATTTTTCTGAAACGAGACATCCTCGATAATGTATGCAGCTGACATATAGGCTACGACCTACAAATGCACAGCCTTTGAGACACAAATGAGACATAGCCTCAATGAACCTACTGAATAGCAAAGACATTTTTAAAGGATGCATGCTTTATCCAACAGCTTAGCCAGACATTGATAAGATTTTCTATATACATGAAAAGATTTTTCCATATATATACATAATGTTAAATGGAAATGATGATGTCCTAGTTCAGGAGTGCCCATTCCTGTTCTTGGAAATCTACCTTCCTGCAAAAACTGAAACGGCTAATAAAGATTTTGATATTCTTTGTGTAAATTATAGTACAATACCACCAGTCAAAAGTTTGGACACACTTCCCATTTGTGCGTCCAAACTTTTGACTGGTACTGTATGTAGAATACAGTATATACATAAACAGAATATATTATATACATAAACACATTTTTTGCAATGATCACTCAAATGTGATGATCAAACACTTATAATGACATGACAAAGATATGTAATGGAGGCAGGGTATTTAACAATTTAACAATAAACTTTATTATCCAAAATGAGTCTGACATCAGTGCACTAAATGGTAAACTCCACTTCACTTATTATAAATAACTTTAAAGCACAAATAGAACAAAATATATATAACTTGAATTAAGAAAATAAACAAGGTATCTGTGTAGGGCAAGCAAGCTACTGCCAATCCAACAGGGGCAAGTTTATTTTAATAATAATACAAAAATAGCCTAATTTCTATGAAATGTATTTTTTTTTCTTCACAAATTCTGTTGTGTATTTTCTGGTAATCAAATGAACATGCAGAACATGAAGATTCGCATCTTAGTCTATAGTATTTTTGCAGTTTAATATTCACAGACACTAGTATATATCGCAATTTGATTTAAGTGTACTGCCCTGTAATAAAAAATGACAAATTCAGTGAAATTCCGTGTTATACAGTAAATTCCATTTTTATGACTGCATTCCGCGATTCCGTCCGTGTTTTCTGCATTGCGGAAATCATAGGGCCTTACTAATGTAGCAAACCAGTATGATAAGCTCATTGTGAGAGTAAAAGACGGGGACATTGTTTATTTACTTTATAGCATTGCGTCTCACCAACTAGGTGACAACATAGCGTTAAATAACCATTCAGCAGTCTCAAGCCACCACCGCAGTGACCTTCTATTGGACTGCAGAAAGATACATACTTTTCAATGTGCTACGTTACTGACTGTACTGTCAAACTATGCTGACTTAGGAAATGTGATGTGACCGATGTGATAAGCATGAGTGACATGGCAGTTTTAAGGGACGGAGTTAATGTTATATTGGACTTATATTGAAAAGGGAAACTTATGGGGTCATTGTTTATTAACTTTACAGTAAGTTATGCATTTCACAAACTAGTTAGTAAATATTTGTGCTTGATGAGGATGCGTTAATTCTACAGATCATGCTTGACCTAATTTTGCCTGTCTGCACTTTAAATTCCAAGCTGTATGTGTAAAAGCCCCGTTCACACTGCCAGCGACTTTTTCGCTGCATGTCGCTAAACTCCGTGCTGTGAAGACACTTGTGGGCGTTCCTACTGCTGTAGCTCTAATGTTATTGGTAGACTGCACATCTGGACATATAAAATACAATCACAAACTGTATATTGCCGGTAAAACTAAGATATAATTCTATTATGACTAGGAATTAGACTTAAAAGAAATAAAAGTACCATTCTGCTGTTGGAGAGTGTTGTGTTATAAACTACAGCAGTGCGCGTGCATTAAATCATTAACCGGTGCTAAACTGCTCACTGCATCATGTAATTAACAACTCGAACCATCAATGTATGAATCAAACTCACTTAGACAGCCAACGGTTTCTTTTCTACGCATAATTTTTTATATCCATGTATGTGGTTACAGTAAAATCATATAAAACAGTGAAATCGCTCAGGAAATCTGTCCTGTCTTGCCTGCACTCGAGACGGTGACGTGTGAGTGCCACTGACAGATTCTTCACTCCTATTGGTTGTCGCTCGCGAAATTCGTTGTTAATTTGCATAAAGTTAAACATTTCTTAACTTTTGTCGCTTGACTCGCATCGCTTGACACGCCCACATTCTGTCGCCAACGGTCACTGTCGCTCGTGTCGCAGGAAGTCGCAAGCTCTCTATTGAAAATGAATGGGAGCATGTCGCTGTGTCGCTGGCAGTGTGAACGGGGCTTTAAAGGGGTGGTTGGGCAGAGGAGGAAAAGCAACTAACGCAGACATAGATCCAGTAGCAGGTCACTCACAGAGACAGCATAAAAAAGCAGAAAACTGAGCTTGTGTCATAGTGAACATCGCTGCTATATTTGTGAGTGTTGGCAGAAATATCTTCTGGTCTCTCACATGGTTGTATGTAGGCGTTTTGTGGGCTGCATGTTTTCTTATCTCACAATATGCTGCTCAGGCAGTTTGACAGTAAACGCATATGTTGCCTTCTTGTCCAGTGCTGATACAGTCTCTGACTTCAGAAACATAGTTGAGTCATATCAAATCCTGTTAATGCTGAGAAACATTTCTCTGTTATTTTCTCACTGCTCTTAATGGTTGGCTGATATGAGAATTGAACTGATGGGACTCAGTCCTTATATTCTTCAGTGTGTTTCTTCCTGTTAAAAAGGCAAATTGGGATATAGTACAGTGGTCACCAACCTTTTGAAGCCCAAGATCCCTGACCTCTGCCTTTATGAAAGACAAGATCTACTTATTAAATAATTGATAAAGGCAGCCCAGAATGTATTTCCAATTTGAGGCCTTTTAGTATTTTAATTAGTGATGCACCTATGATGATTTGTAATGGCCATTTCAGATTTAAGGCCTTTTTTTTTTAATTTAATTTAATTGTTTTTAACTAGCAAATTGGCCAATTCTGATAATGGTTCATTTTTATTTTATTTTATTTTTTTAAGCAAATTTATTTATTGGCTATTTAAAAATAAATCTGTAGGCATTTGAAATTAGAGGCAACCACTGAATTTCAATCATGATCCAAACAAAGATGATACACACGTTGCATGAGCAGTTGTTTTTGATTTTAATTAGATTTACATAGGGCTGGGCGATATGGCCAAAAAAATGATCACAATAATAATTGTGATATTATTATAGTGATAATCAAAATTTTTTTCATATCAGTCGATATCGATAATTATCACGATAAATGTCAAATCTTTATTTCTTTCAAGTTTAAAGCCAGATTTTTGCTCCAAACCAGACCATTAATTTTCCTTAACAAAATAAATATCTAAATAGAAAAATAAATTTATTAGTTTCTGCATGTTCTAATGAGTGGTATTGTTTCAAATCAAGAAACAGATTTGGGTTGCCTGATAATCATTTTGTGTGTTTTACAAATAAGATAGACTACAAGGTTAAGAAGCTTACATGTAAAATGTTTTTTTCTCTATTTTGCAATAAAAATGGCTTCCCTTATTTTGTTTTCTTGCACGGCGGGATGTTGCACTCATGAAAAATAATCACGTAGTTTGTATTTGCCAAAACTGATTTACCGAAGTCAAACCACGGACAGAATTGGCGTTAGCGCGAGCACCACTTAATTGTGAAGCGGGAGCGACCAGCCAGTCGCCAGAACACCGGGAGCGAATATGAAATGAATGGCGCCAGCATGAGTTTCAAGGCAACAGAGTTCACTGCGTACTTTAATTCAAAAGACATAGACCTGTACATAGCAAAACTTAATAGATTAAGCATAACAGATCCCTATAATGCCCCCGTGGTGCTTTTAACGTGTATCAATAAAGGAACGGATAGATTTCCTGACCTGCAGTATCCTGATATCTACAACTACCTCATCAACTTTCCCTCCTAACATTACTTTTTAAACGTCTACAAAAGCCTGGAGGGGTACAAATGGAGGCAATCTAATTTTTTTTTAAATTATTGTTGTACAACTGTCGATACATTGCTCTAGCGCTCTCCTGATTGCCTGCCAAAATGGTGGAGTTTAGAGTGTGTGACGTCAACCTCCGGAGCTCTATAGCACCTCAATATCATGGTAAAAATATAACTATATGGTTTTTAGGTAGCCTGTTTGTATGAAAAACAGTAGTCTAAAAACATTCAGTATAAATGCACACATGCTATAGCTTAATCACAAATACATACTACAATTATATACCATTATTCTTTTAATAAAATTCAGTGTGAATATCCCAAATTTCTACCACAATACCATGGTGCAGTGAGTGTTACTACAGTAAATCCATGGTAAATGATAGCGATTTGTAGATTGAAAAGCCTTCTGACTGTCTCGTTGCACACAGTGTTTCTCCTGTTTGGCTTTAAACTAGTTTAAATTACGGAGTCATTTGTGTTCATCACTGAATTAAAGCGCTTCACACTGGATCTCACAGCGCTGCTTAGTGTCGC